CATTTAAAAGGAGATTTCAGTCAGTGGGTAACCGATTTCAGCCAATTTTTATTTTCGCTTACCTATATATGTAATATATAGAAAGGGAAAGTATTGTGATCGTGAAAATTTTCGAATATCGAATTTCAACGAAAATACAAGTTTTGATTTCCCCTGAGTCGAAATCTCCATCGAAAGTCCAAAAAAATGGTCTATGTGTGTGTGTGTATCAAGTCTAGCTCAAAAGCGAAAAGTCGTAAGAAACTGATATTACGTATTTAAGATAGGTAAATGCCTTAGATCTGACAGCAACTTTTTCGTTAAAATCGACTAACCGGAAGTGGCACTTTATACGAACAGTGATAGATTTTAGTAAACATTTTTACAATTTTCTCAAAACTCTAAACAATCAAAAAACAATTTTGATTAAACTCGGTGTATCATTGTATAATTAAGTGGACGTTATTATCATTGATGTCACTTTACAGGGCTTAAAAGCTTATGTTCAACATGTCTTCCTCTAAAGTACCTTTAATTTGGTCTACATTAAATAATTGACTATCTCTCATTATTAAGAGTTATGAAAAAAGGCTAAATATAACTTTAAAGAAGGTGACATATGGACGAAGGAGAAAAATACTTAACAAGGTCGAAAATGAATCTCCGGAAATTCTAGTCAGAATGTATCACAGACGGATCTACGGAGGAGGGGAGGAGACCCTTTCGGGCTGAAGATCCTCTCCCTTAAATAAAATGTTAAAACGTAACAATATTTTATGGTAAAAAAATATAAAAGAATTATCTCTTAAAGTATTATTGTTCGTGTAATTACATTCAATAGGCCTTCAAGAATCACTTTAACACCATTACATGTTGGTAGTTAGTATCTTTCTTTTTTTTTAAATAATTATCGTTATATATACATATATAAATGAAAAAAGAGCTTTCAGGCTGAAGCCCCCCCCCCCCCAAAATAAAATTAAATCCTGGATCCGCTATTGGAAGGTACATGTATAATACATCGTTGTTAAGCGGAGAATTTTAGAAAAAAACAATATCTAATATATGATGGATGATTATAAATATTGAGGACGCAGTCATTATAAAATTTTTGTTAGTGCCAACAAAAACCAAACATGTGGGTCATCGTCAGGCCGTGATTCGAGCACTGAAGGTATTCAAGTACTCGAGTACTTTGTTATTTAATTGGCATTTATGATCTGTCAGCTGTAAGCTTGAAGCTTTAGCTCGGCTAAAAATGCAATTCAAAAGTTTTATAATACCCCAACATGGCCAGAAAATAATTTCTATTCAAAGCTGAGAGGTTAGTGAAAGTTTTGCGAAGCGCGCACCAGATTATTATTGCAGTGAAACTACAATAAATAAATGTTAGACACACTTCTTGACCTTCATTCCAATGGGCTCTAGGAGCCAAGAAAAAAAATCATATAATTTCAAACAAAATATACATTATTTATTTTTCCCTTTGCTCTGTTCGGATTTCTAGGTTTATAGGAAACAAATTGATTTCTTTTTTTTGTTTTTCTAAAAATAAGAAAAAAATATTGGTAATAGTATCAAATGAGTTATAATCTATATAAATAAAACAAAGGTTTCGGCCCTACATTGAATAGAATCAATCCATTTCATGATATTATAATAACAAAACTTTCTTTTTTAATTATAACAATAAAAAAAGAAATTTATTTTTTTTTCTTAATCCCAATAATATAATACTTTGAACAATTTATTTTACAACTAGCTGATGTACCCATGGTTGAGGAGTGTATAGTTAAAATTTGAGATGGCTTTTGTATTATGGGGAGGGAGGAGATCAAAATTTAATTTCATAAGATTGGGTGGGGTCTTGTTGTTGTTGTTGGGATGCTATACCCAATAATATAATACTTTGAACAATTTTTTTTACAAGTAGCTGATGTACCCGTCATTAGTGTAAGTTGAAATTTTTTTGGGGGGGGATGGATTTTGTTTTAGGAGATCCTTATTTAATTTCATAAAATTGGGTGGAGAGCACTAGCGGATCCAGGATTTAATTTTGGGGGGAGGGCTTCAGCCCGAAAGCTTTTTTTTTCATAAAAATAACGACAATTACTTTGGAAAAACAGAAAGAAACTAACTACCTATATGAAATGGTGTTTTAAGTTATTCCTTAAGTACTTTTAAATGTAATTACACGAACAACAATACTTTAAGAGGTATTTTTTTTCCCATAAAACATGGTTATATTTTTCCATTTTGGGGGGGGGGGGCTTCAGCCCGAAAGCCTCCTCCCCTCCTTCCCCCCGTAGATCCGCCCGTGGTGGAGAGAGGGTTGTTTCGAAATTCTTTATGGGGGGCTTATGGAAGTCAAGGTTTTGCAAGTCAAAATAAAAACATTGATGCATTTGTTTTGAGATACCTATATTATCCCTTTAGGGATAATTTTAATTTGTCAATAGATTCCGGTTAGGCAATTGCTCATTTCGATTCTCATCTTAACCTACTCTACCAAGAGCCACATTTAAAAGTTGTAACGTTCAACTGATGGAAAAAAAATCCCAATAATTTCACCCTGCCCGCCACAATATTCAGATCAAGTTCTAATCTTATACCGATGTAGGTGACTCAATGTCCAATGTTGGTTATTTTGCCAGTGATAAACTCAGCAGAGTGTAAAGAAGTGGGGAGACTACAACTCTTTTTATTATTTTAATCAACTCCACAATCCCCATGCTACATCATAAATGAAAATTAAACACTTAAAAAATCTGAATAGATCGGTGGTGGTCGGTTTAGTTGTGTGGCACCTAAGTAAATAGCTGAATAACAAAGTTTTTATTATGACTATTGTGAAACCTTGACTTCCATAGGCCTGCCCATAAAAAATTTCAAAACAACGGACGTTGAGTTTTCCCTCTTTCCTGATTTAGTCATTGAATATGTTCCAGATATGTCTTCTAAGCCTGCCTTGTGGTCTCCTGCCAGTTGGCCTTGCTTCTATGCATTTCTTTGGTACTCTGTCTTCTCCCATTCTACATATGTGCCCATACGATCAACGTTGTCGCCATTCCATATGTTCTTTCAGAGAAAGTATCAGGAATTCTCCTCTTATTTTGTATTTCCTGTTTTTTTCCAATATACTTTGTAGAAATTTCATTTCCGCAGCCTTAATTCTGCTTAAGGGTCTGTCTTGAGTGACCTAGCTTTCTCTATCATACAATAATTAAGGGAGATAGATTGCTTTGTAGATATGGAGTTCCTTGACATGACATTCCTTCCTACCTCTCTCTTTCCCACGATTGTGTTACAAATCTGGTTGTGTATACTGTTTGCTTTCTTTATTCTGTTGGAAACTTCTTGATCTATTTTCCCAGATTTGATAAAAATTGTTCCAAGGTAGATGTAGTAGTCTACTTTCATGTCTAGTTCCAAGGAGCTAAATACATCTATTAGTTTCAGTTTAGATAGTCTCTTAAAAGAAGTATCTTATATTATATTATATTAACTGCCAAAATTAGCTATCATACAGTTGAAATTGAAGAAACACGTTAAAAGTTGAAAACTCGTGATGACTGTCCTAACTACTGCAAAATTTACTATGAATTCTAAAATTTGTTTTCAACTTTACAAAATCTCTAAATTCCCATTTGATAGACACCCTGATAAATAAATTACATGTATTTTTTATTCCTACTATAAGAATTTAATTAAGTTAAAATTTTGGATAGAATCAATATTAAGTTCAGTGATAATACAAAAACATTACAGCTGATTGGGTTAGACAAGGGGCGCAATATGTCTACACGTGGTAGTAAGTAGGTAAATAGGACAACTATCACTCCTGCGACAGATATTATAAGCGTGGAAGTGTCTGAAAGCAACTGCCATTGTTATTAAAGTTTTTCCCCACATGCAAGTGTTTCCTTTATAAGTCAATGGAATAAACAGTTTATTTACACATATTTTTTATTTGTGATAATAAACAAAATGATACCTTACATATATGTCATATATATAATGCAAAAGAATTAGGATCATTAAAAATAAAATTAAATATAAATGTAATTTGTTTAATTAAATATTATATGAACATTTATTTACAAGCACAATGTATATATATATATTTATAATTATGAGAAAACAAATGGCACTGCATAACACTTAATAAGTTAATAGTGCAAAATATTAATTTAAAAAAAACAACTAAAGAATGTCCGAGAAGGCACTAATAATACCATATAGCAAAAAATATGCTGATAATTTAAAATACAGTACATTAATTAATACAAAGGCAAGACGGACGGAGATGTAGTTCAGTCATTTAATATTAGACAGTTGCGAATAGTCTTTTAATGACTAGTCTATAGGATACTTATATTTTGATCAGAGCATTATCATATTATAATTGATAATAATACTGCAAAATGCTGATATGATGATATGTTATAATAATACTATTTATCTTTTTCAAAATGCAGTAACCATCCAATAAAAAATTACAATAATTATTTTTGACATTTTTTTTATCCTTTGGAAGATATTAATTATTTGAAAAGTATAAAAAAAAAAAGTTAACTAAAAAAAATTATATTATTTAATCTTATGAAGGTACGTAGATGATTAAACTTATAAATAAGTTAAGGAGTCACAATAATAATTTTTGTAAGATTCTCTAAATTTTCAAGACATGGCTAATAAAGAAGATTATATAAAAAAAAAAAAAATAAAAAAAAATAACAGAAATACTAAATCCTTCAAAAAGTTAATCACAGCTTCCTTTAAGTCTAAGCCCAGACTCTCTCGATAAAGAATTTTAATTTATTAAGTCATTAACAACAATTGTCTTTAAAAGAAACATTAAATGTCCTTTAAAGATAAAAATTATATATTTTTAAAAGAGGAGAGGTCAGTTTAAAAACAGGATAATATGGAAAACATTTTTGGACTACATATGTGTAGACAGCTCAATGTCCATTCGCATCCTTTTTAACATCATTCATAACCGATTTATCCAATAGACATTAGTTGGCATCAATTTCCCCCAGCGAGCTGTGAAGTTCACGGAAGCTCTGGCCAAGTGGTCCTTGTAGCGTCTGTCTTTTGAGAAGGAAAGCCCGAATTGAAACCAAGCTCTGGTAGCAATTCATACACTTCCGATACCTAAACAATAACAATATTAATACATAAATACAATAATTTACAAATAGTAATGCTGTACAATAATAAGTATTTTAATTATAAATAGTAACAGGCCAGGGTGAATGATTCATCAGTGATCAAATGACCAAATAATAAGAAAAGAAAATTAATTAAAAACTTCATTCATGTTTACAAATTATAATAAGCTGTATATTTACTAATAATGTTCCGATCATGATTTTTTTTTTTTTCGTATTAAAGGGAATTTAGTAATCTTTTAAATAATTTGGTTAAGAATTAATATGAGGATATGGCGTACCGACAAAAAAAAACACCTTTGTAAGTGATATAAACTCCTCCTCTCTCGATCATAGAGATCTCAAATAAACGAAGATGTAACCTCAAGGACTTAACGTAAACAATAATAAGACATGTATCCATGGCAGCATTACAATTAACATGAGGTTATGTGGCTGCGAATCCATTGTCTAATATTATCTCGCCGATAGTTCCGAAAGAACTTAATGAGTCTTGAAGTCTGCATTGAAATCTTCAAATTAGTAATCTATACAACTCTTTTTTTACTTACACAATTCTATTAGTCCTGTCTCGATCTACTGACTTATCACCGTCCCAGTATTGCAGCGTAGTAAAATGTTTATTTCGGGTTTATTTATTTCAGAAAAAAAAAATGGAGAGTACCATTCGCTAACTCCCCGGTGAAATTCTGAATACAGCGGCACTCCATTCAGGGCATTCGGGAAATTTCACAAACTGATTGAAATTCTCATAACTCAGAGCCTTGGAGCCTTAGTGTAATAATCTACGTGGAGATTGTAATTTTAATTTAAAAATTTGAACGAGCTAATTTAAGGAACAACCTATTCGATTCAAATACAGTAAAATGTCTTAGTAGCGGACACCTACGGAGAACCAAATTTCATCAGATATAGAGAAATGTACATTTTAGAGAAACTGGAAATAAAACATGATCAAAAATAAAAATTAGCTGATTGAAATAATATTTTATAAATGAAATCCTTCATTCATTTAAAAAATATTTTTTATTTTTAAATTCACTTTTATTTAGATTAAGTAATATGGGAAATTAGTCAAGATTTCTAGACTGTTAGTAAGATTAATTTTTTTTTTCCGATGGTTGTGAAGAGTGCATACATTTTTTTTCAAAATTATGAAAAAAAAGTTCCAGCTTGGATAATATATCAGTAAGAACATTCATCCAAAATTGAAAATTGTGATCTTTTCAATGTTTGCTAAAGTGAATATGCTTGTACATAGCAGATATCAATGAAACGATACAGAGAATAAAAAATGAACATGATGAGAATAAAACTTACCTCTCTTCTCTGCTCAAATCAACACCAAGAGCAGCAGACCCAGAGAGCACATTGGACTTGATTACTGGAGTGAAGTTCCTTAGGATAAGGCGAAGGGCATCACAACCTGCTCTCATATGCCTGTCAATTAATAGTAACAACAATCTTTTAATTATCTCAAATATTACAATAATAATAATTGCTAGAAGAAAAAAAAAATTGGTGCAGTGAACCACATAGTTTTCACCAATAGCCATACTTTCAGCATAAATTAATTTTTGTAAAAAGGTCATAAACCTTACGAATATTACTTTAATTATAAATAAAAACACAATAATTAATAGTAAGTAAAATAATAATACGCAGTATATATTTTACATGTACTATATATACAGGGTTTCCCGTAAGCAGAGGGAAATTTTGATAGGAATGATAGCAGACCTCAAAAGCTACAAAAAAGTTCATATTTTGTAATATATAGTTATAAGTCCAAGTTTTGCGTTTTTTTAAGAGTCCTGTTTTTTGTTGAATTGGAAGTAATAACTAAAGAAATATTTAATTCAATTAATTAACAAATGCTGCAAATGGTCAGAGAATACCATAAAAAGGTTTTGGTATGCACCCTGATATAGATTTAAAGTAATAGATTTAGAGATAAGTCTTCACTATATAATGCACTTTTTTTTAACTTACGTTTCATATCTGCTTTTTAATAGCTCATAAATAGCAGGAAGCACAACAACACAGATGTCCAAGTTCCAGATTCCTCTAAAACAGATTAATACTATTAGTATAACATACAGATAAGAAACATGAATTTTACTAAAATTTGAAAAAAATAAATATATGGTACTTACGGGCGGTGAGTGATAATACTCAAGAAGTCCACCAATACTGATAAGTCACTCATGTGCACTGCAGTTTCCACGGCTGACTGAGGAAAGCAATAAAAAATATTTAAGTACCTAAAGAGGTTATGATATAGTAATTACGATAAAATTATATAAATTTAACAATCAATTCTGACCATTACGTACTCATTATATGTAATCGAATCTCCATAAATTTTTTGTAAAATTAAATTTAAATCCTGTAACATCAAGCCACAATTAAAGAAATAAATCCTTGCTACTACAAACTCCTCGTTAAAGTGAAACAAAATTAAATCCTTATGAAAAATACATTGATTTTCCTATAATAAACCTTTATTTTAACGAAATATTCCGTTCATACGAACTACAAACTACTTTTCAACCACTAGTGAGAAATAACTTTCACGACGAACTTGAAAAGTATAATATGAGTAACCATCCATTCCTCATCTCAATATGAGACTTTGCAATGATCTTAGAATGCAATATTATCAAGTCCCTAGAACTTAGTAATTATTTATCTCACTGTTATTTACATTAACTAGCAAAAGAATGATTTATTCATTATATAAACAATTGGAATGTTTTATTTCTCTCCATCAAGAAAAAAAGAATCAAAGGCAATTTTGGGAGCACTACATTTTAACATCGCTACATCGAGTTGATATATATTTTATTTTAAGGATTACAAAATTACTAAAATAAGTTCAATATAAGAAAGTTCGACAGTATTTTATATTCTCCTCAAGCCAAAGGTACATTAGAGATAAATGTAATATATAATACAAAGGTAAAGTGGACTTCTGCTAATCCAAACCACAAAAAAAAAATTTTTGAAGATTTGATTTTAATTTTTGAATTTAAATTAGTTTGTTATTTTTTTCCTATTCGGTATTCCCACTTTTTTTCTAATCTGAATCCCCTTGGTTTTAATTAGTCCGAAATAGCAGGAGTCCACTGTATCATTACAATGAATATAAGTCATCTTGACCAACCTTAAGATCCTTATTCTGCCAATGGGTGTAGACAATCTGCAAATTTCGTTGCCTAGTCGCTAAAATCGCCATGATAGAATCGTGCCCTCTCATCATCGATGACAGTACCTCCTGTTCCGACATGTTAGGTACAGAACCTCCAAATTCCATTCCTCTTTGTAAATTTTTCTGAAATATAATACTTCTTATCAAAAAAAGTTAACTATAAAAAAAAACATTTGTTGCCATATTTAAATAATAAATATTAGTATCATTATAAATATAAATATTAGTACTCACTGGCATAAAATCATCAAGGTCGAGACCTGTTGGCCTGTCTGCAGACATAGGTACGAAGTCCATCGCCTCAGGTGCTGGCTGACAGAAATTACCACTTTTTACCGGCCCTCTGTCGCTTTTTGTTTCCCGCAATGCTGTTTTTGGTAGACCACCTATAGACAACAAAATTTCAAATGAACTTTTTGGTAAGAGATAACATTTAGGGCTTCTTTCAATTTCAATTTTTCAGTAAAAAATATAGTTAAATGAGAGACATTATTTTTGTTTTCCAAGCAGTGTGAAAATATATATCTCAAATAAGTTTGTTTGAAGCTTACTCATTACTTTGTGTGGAAAAATAAACAAAAACAACCAAAGAATTGAATGAAAGAAAATTAACTATTAAATGATAGATATATTTTCATAGAAGACATTAATTCAAAACACATGTTTTTAGTTTCAAAAAATAAAGAGAACCTTAAAAAGTTGTAGTTTTTGAAGCATACGTGAGATCAAAAGCCCATTGTTGAGAGAGCTAAATGCTATTCCAAAAATAGTATTACGGAGGTGCTTTGGGGACCAGACGAAGTATTGTGCTTAAATGTATAATAGCATTGATATAGATGAATAAATAAAATTGTTTTAAAAAAATGACGACTCCAGTTACTTAAAAAAAATGAACACACATCACACCTCATACAAAGTTATAATAATCTTCTTTACATTTTTAAATATTTTGTAAATGATATTAGAGAGTTAAGGAAAAAAGAAAATGTGTGTTTCAACTTTGTACTGCACGATTCAAACTATAGTTGAAAGGACTCAAAAATTTATTTGTTATTTTATTACATAAATCTCCTCAACAGATAATAATAGGAATTCAATTTTAACAAGCATAATTATAATAATTTTAAATTAAAAAAAAGTTTTATATACATATATGATTAAAATTACATAGGAAACAAGTAATCCACAGACAGAATCATGTAAAATATGCAAGAGTTGAAAAACTCACTAGAGTGAGACACAGTTCGAAGGGGGTGCTTCGCTGCAGGAGGCTGCTTCACCGTTGACGAGGCTCGTGGTATACTGCTCTCACTAGATGACTGGTGGATTGATGATAGTTTGACAGGGAAGTCTTCGTTGACTTTGTTCACTACGCTGTGCCTGCGAACTCCTGGTATTGGCTGTTGGACTGAAGGAGGTGAAGGTGACGACTGCCGAACATCCATCTCCTCACTACCACCACCAATTTCTATAAGCCATCAACGATAAGAATGAATATCACAGAATACATACAAAAAATACAATAACATAGTTTGTATGCAGCAAACACTGCATGGAACTTTAATAAAAAATAAATATTTTAAGGTTGGATTCCAAAAAGTGACTGAATTCAATAAAAAAAATTTCAGAAGATTAAATAAATTCTTATTCAGAAGAATAAGAATTTTGATTTCATTAAATAAAAAAAAAAAAGACTCAGAAGTCATAAATAGCTTGTAAGAAAATAATTAAATTTTCTGTATAAAAGCTTCATTAAAAACCAATGTATACCATATTAATGTAGTATGATGAAAAAGTAATTAACAATAGTATTATGTAGAAATAAAATGAGTAAGAATGAAGAATATTATAACTAAATACATTGATAAACTATTATTATTTTATTTTTAATACATCAGTAAAAATCTGAAAAAGTAATTAACAATAGGATTCAGAATTCATTATCTGTGATATAATTTATAAAATATAAAAGAATTACCGACATTAACAAACCACTAACCTACACATAAGCTTGAACCCTGAGATCAAAATAAACTCAAAGAAGATTCAAAATCAAACTCAATGCCTTGTGTTAAAATTAAATTATATTGTTATAAATACCTTCATCTGACATAACAGCTGGAGGAATAGGAGGTAGCACAGCCGGCTGTATTACAGATACAGGAGGCAGCTGCGGCGGAGTAGAGTATACACTGCCAACAGGAGAAGGGGGTGTTACCATTGGGGGTGGGCTGCGGCTTCCCATGATCGTTACGTCAGCAGTATAAGCATCAGAGCTAAAAGCTAAAATGAGAAAAAGATATACGTTATGTTCAAAAAAGAATTATGTATCAGAAACAATTTATAACCAGAGTTTCATGCAAGAATCGATTAAATAAAACAGAGGTGATAGAACTAATATTAAAAATTCCAGCTTTATATTTTTTAAAAAGATTTTAATAACTAACTTTCATATTTCTCATGCTTTTACTTCATGTTATATAATGTAATGTTTCAGACTTATACTATCTATCATCAAACATTCAACTTAATAATAATATCCACATTTATATCATATGTATCACATTAATTCATTCATGTTATTTACATTTTTATACATTGTTTTTTTTTTTATTTTAGTTAGAAAAAATTGTCACAGACTGTATTCCGGCTTTTTTTTTTAGATCTGAGTAGTGCATTACAACAAAGATTTAGAGTGTAGAAACTTAAATTTAAGGAATCAATCATGGGAATATTAAAAAAAAAGAAGAGAATTATAACCATGCTAATGAATTAATGTTTGTACCTTCATCTGAATTGTGACCTGACGTAAATATACTAATTGGAGGGCTCCTGTTCACTATAACAAAAATCAGTAACATTATAACACTCAATGTAAGATTATCAAAGTTTAAAATAAAAACCTAAGATATGTGTTTACATGAAATTATTATTGATGTTAAGAAAAAATTTCTGTCAAGTAGCATCAGTTCCTTACAGTTTCTATTTGTTCTATAACTACCTTTATTTCAAGATCTATGGTTTGTCTTATGGCAAAAAATCTACAAGAGAGGCAGGCCACCTTTGTCACTATACAATATAATATGAAGTACAGACTTATCAAGAACAAATGCACGCATAATTGAAAGAATTTGTTAAAATATATCGGACCATCGCAAAACCTGAAAGTTTCATCAAATCAAATAACAGTAGTAGGTGTCATGCTGTCACATGGATTCAACAGAAAGACAAACTACAGTTCATAAACTTATGACTATAAGTAGTATAAATATAACTTCCGTAAGTTCTCTGCATACCACATTTCACAGACAATAACAATTACAATTAACAATTAGAATACTTGTTCCCATATTTACTCTATCTTAGAGCTAAATCAACTGAGCCATTTAAGAAACATGGGTGAATCAAGGTCTCAACCTATAGACTTATATATTCCCTCCCATAAAACTTCCTCCTTCAGCAAATCCTTCGTCATTCATGCTGCTTCCTTATGAAACTCACTTCCTACCTCCATGCGTCAATCCTCGTCCACAAATTCCTTCAAACAACTCCTGTTCCAACACCTACTCCACATTCAAACTTCCTCTAACATGTAAAATTACTTGCATCTATACAATGTTTGATTTCAATCTACTACACAATTGCAAAAAAAAACTTAACAGTAAATTTGTTTGTATTTTATATTATTTTAAGCCAGACTAAATTAGCAGACCCATAAATTTGTAACTCTGTTATTATTCTTAGGGGGCAGTAGTCCCAGAATAAAATTATTTTTTCATTTTCATTAATGTGAATATAAATATTGGTGGGTTAAAAACAGTATATATAGGTAACAAATAGAACACAAATTATAAAATAATCGTAGAGATATAATCTAAGATTGTCATTTGAGGCATGGTAGGACAAATTATTTTAGTGGCAAAAATCAATCAAAGATGAGTATGTTAAAAGAGTATATAAAATGATTCTAATGAAAAGGGATGGATAACCTTCCTCCAAGAAGAGGAGAAATATAATATGATACCTACAAGAGCGACTTGGCTGAAATATGGCCCTGTAATCGTTGACGTCTGGTATCTCGGGAACAGTTTCATCTTCTGGATCAGTCTCCGACCTCTCGGATTCCTCGATAGTTTTCACGGACAAACTGTAAAATGATTTATACAAATTAGTAAAAAATAAACTGACATCATTAATTTCAGTGATTGTCAAATTTAATTAATGAAGAGAAAAGATAAAAAAAAAAATCTGGTGCGCGCATCACATGACTTTCACTTACCACCCTCTGAAATAAGTATTTTCAGACAAAGGGGAAATGAAAGTAAAAATTATAGACGCTACATTTATTTACATTTCATTATGGGTATTTTTATTTGTTTATAAACCCTTATGTAGACATATTTTAATTTTTATATCACTGTATTCTATACAACTAAATAGTAAATAATACCAACAATAGCATTTATAAAAACCGCATACGTATATGAACATAATATTGTCAGAGTCCGTATTATATCAAGCTCATGTTACATATGGAAGCCCGTTACATTCCTTTGGTCCTTCCAGTCAGTGATGCGCATATTTATATTCAAAAATATAAATACGGATACCATTTATATTTATGGTACTAATGAATACAAAGATGAATATATTTATATTCATACAAAGAAATATGAATACAGAAGATACGTATTCACGGCTGTAAATATAAATATGCTTAAATTTACAGAAGTGAATGGAAATATTTTCACACAATCTTATTAATGAATACTCTTATTTATTAAAAAAAAAATATTTATTAAATTATTTATTTAAAAAAATATATTTACTATATAAATATCATTTTATTTTTATATAGAGTATAAGTTTCGTTACATTCCTTAAAGAAAAAAAAAATTGGACGTTTCAGTAATAAACACCATATTTTTTTAAATATTAGGATTTTTTTTTTTTTTTAAATGATTGCAACATAGGATTCATTGGTGTTTTTACATGGGAATTGATACTTATCTCGATTTACATAAAAACCTATTAGGCTTCAAATATATCGCTTGGAAATAAGCGATTCATATGAATATAGAGAGGGAAAGTATTGAGATCATGAAATATTTTCATAATTTTAAAATTACACATTTAGGGGTAACCTGGATCCAAATAACCAACTCTTTGAGCGTGTGTTTTTTGTGTTTGTCTCAGTGTAACTTCTGTAAGAAAATACATGAAGAAGTGCATTCTACTAAAAATAATTCAAGCAGTGTTTATGAATGTGAAAAAGAAGATGGTTATTAATGAAAAAAAATTTTACTTACGACTTTTTTGCCTCAGGAGTAGGCTTCTGCTTATTGAAGCTCTTCCTCAAAGAGTTACCATGCGAAAATGGACTGGTATGGATGGGAGAGTCTCCTCCAGTTGGAGCAGAGTTCGTCATTAATAATGTAGTGTCAACCACCCAAACCGAGACGCTACTTCCGCCACTGGATGCTCCAATCTAAATTAAAAATTTGGTAATTTTGAGTTCATTTACTTTATTGACTAATGCAAAAGTTTTAGGTATTCCAATCAATAATTAGCAATAAGATTGAATCCATTATATATTTATCAAACATACGAGAGTTCAAGAATAAGATAATAAAAAAACATAGAGTTGAGTTTACTTTTCACAATTTTGACAATCTGATCTCCTTACCTTTCTATACCACACCATTCAATAGTCATTCTAAAAAGCCCATTATCCCTACACGTCTAATAAATGAATTATCTCCATTTATGAGTTGCATGACATGCGATCGTGAATTTTAATTAACCAATAATGGTCAACTAATTTCAGGAATAAACTTTTGTGATAATTCAATGAAAACAAATTTTAATCCCTATTCTCCAATTTTGAGGTTTTACATTTTAAGAAACATATAAAAACTGGTAAGTCTACCATTCACATAGGAGGAGGGACCCAAAAGTTTCGGGGATGGGGCTGTGGTGGGAAAGGTAAGTGGATATCTCTTTCTTTCTCGTTCTTTGGTGGGGGTTCTGTGGGGGAAACTCTCTGAGTCCGTGTACGAAGTTTGGTTACTGTGAATGCATCAGTTCATCCGTGAGAACTTGTTTAATAAAACAACTTTTAATGTGAGATGTCTGACTGCCGGGAGCAACGTCAAGCTGTGAAACACTTATAATTAAAACAACTAATTGGGATGATGCCCTAAGCAAAAGACATGTTTATGAGTGGTTTTCAAGGATCAATCAAGGATGGAGAGAAGTTAATTGAAGATCAACCTCGTTCCGAACTTCCCTCAGCTTCAAGGACTGACAACTACATTGAAAAAATCCATGAACCTTGTTCATGAAGACAGTCATTGAACCATTGATCAACTCTCAGAAATGTTTGGAGTGTTCTGGAGTTCACTTCGGAGGATCATAACAATGCACATGGCAACATTGTTTATATAGTTGTTTTTTTTAAGAAAAACAGTATGATACAGAATTGTCATGCCTCAGTCTGGTTATTTTTAACAGAGAAGTTAAGATGAATCCTTTACATTGAAATACATATTGTTATTGTTATTCTATACCTTCCTTCATAAAACTTCTTCTAAAGTGTTGAATATAAAGCTTAAAGCTTCAGCTTTTTAATTGTACCATTTTTGAGAACAATGGTTTTCATCGCAGTAAATATTACAGATGATTAGATAAGAAAGGTGTTCATATATGGTAGGCTTGTTAACGTAACATGTGACAGTTAGCATGACAATAGCCCTTGCGACAAGAGCTGTCAAAAATCTTACACGAGCAGCAGTAATGTCAGATCTATATAATTTAATTGCTATAATGAATACCCTCTACTAGAATAATAACAACATGTTTCTTTCACTTGTTTAATAATCCCTTAAATTAAATTGCAAAAAAAAGATACAAACCAGCTTATCATTAGTAGAAGCGATATCTTGTACTTTGCCCCACGGAATCTGCAAAGAGGTAATAGTCCTTGCTGGTTCCCATGCGTAAACTCTCAACAAGTCTTGACCGCCAGCGTACAAGCACTCTCCACCAGAGCTGAAGTGAAGGCACCTAAAATAGAATTTTAATGAATGGGAAAGTCAATATAATTATGGTTAAAGTGTCATGTGAAGACAGGATAAAAATAAAATGATTTTAATGCCATTGGTTTGTTTTTTTCAACATATAACCATAATTTTCATATGATTTCCATCACAATTAATTCTTTCAACATGAAAAAACCTCTGTGATTGCTCCTTCCTAAAAGAATATACTTTAAATTCCTATCTAATACATTCAGTTCATCAAATATTCCTACATTTTTTTCCAATGTACAGTTATTCTCTGATATATTTTTATTATTGTTGATCACCAACTGAGTTTTGTATACATGAATAGTTGGTGTATTTTTTGACATCTCTAAGGCACTATAGGATATTACCAGTTATCTAAATATGAAACAGGAATTTTTCCATAGGCAGCTCTAGTTTTTATGGTAGAAACTGTTCAACCGCATTATTGATGCCCTTCTGTTTCTGGCAAGATTTTAACTCACAACAATATAAGTTTCATTTTAAACACCATTGCTAGTATTTTTTTTTTGGGGGGGGGGGGATTTTAACACATGATAGTTTTAATAGTTTTTTAATTACAAGGCTTTAGCTAGCGGCCATTAGCCAAAATTTAAAATAATAATTATTCGAATGATTATTTATATAGATTAATAACTAACATCCTTTATTTTTCATAATTTAATTCCTTTGGAGTTTAAAAAATGAGATAAACCTTCCAGAACAGAATTAGTGTTTGTTATTATATCTATGTAAAATGGATGATCTTTATTTATCAGAGATTTAATTTTATTTATAAAATGGTATCTTTCTGCAGCATATTTAATGCATGACATCGATATATGTTTCGGGTAACTTCACACAATTCCCAACAGTCTGTATCTTTTCTCTTAATCATATATAGGTGGTAAATCACAGTGAATTACACCTGAGATAGCATGATTAATTCTCGATCTACACGTTGTTCTTATCCAACTTCTAGGAGCTTTGCTTCTACCAAACCAGGGTTCCATTGTTACCAGTGGGCAGTGAGATTTATAAAACAACCCTTTTTTTTCTTTGTCATAAATTTCCTACCATTCGATCTTCATGGAAATTTTTAATTCACTTATTATGACTGAAAAAGATATGTGATATTTATTTTGCTTCCTTCGCTAAATATTCCACCGATGAATTGCATTTAATACATGCGTGGCCCCTAACCCAAGCAAATATAACAGTTTTACCTTGTCTTTCAATTAAAAGAATTTTTTCCAATTATTATTAAATATGATGATTTCGAGTTATAATTTTGATTTCCTAGTTTTTTTATGGCAATTAAACTGTCAGTTAGAAGCAAAACGTTATTACAATTGCTGTCCTTTACATAATCTAGAGCTGCTAATACCGCTGTCAGTTCGACCGTGTAGAATAAAGCCTTTTCCTGTTTACTAATAAGGACACTGTGATTATCTGTAGCATTATAAGCAGCAGCTCCTACTCCCTTAGGGATCTTAGATCTGCCAGATTTAATAGTGTTGAAAATGTTGAGTTTTGTGCTAATAAACTACAATTTAATAGTGATAGTTTCTGTTATCATTTACAGAAAACTGCTACAGAATCGAATCTGATGCTTGTCGAAGCTTATGATAAACATACTCTTGGTAAATCAAAGTGATTTAAGCGGCTTAAAAAATTTAAAAGTGATAATTTTGATGTGACAAATAAATAATGTGGAATAAGGATGTGATCTATTAGAAGCTACTTAAACATGGCGAACCTAATATTGAAAATTGAACACAAACAACAAATGATATGGTTGAATCTAGTATTGTGTGAAAAATTACCTTGATATTAAAAAAAGACAAGTTAGAGTGATTTTGCTTCATTATAATTCACCATCATCCACAGTAAAACCAGTGAAGACATCCAGTTGGAAAAATATTAGCGCATGCAGCTTACTTATCAGCTACTTCCAAGTAATATTTATTTGGATCGATGGGAAAGGCACTCGCTTATCAGTGCTTCACTTCTTATGAAAATTTCTTGATAATTATCAATTATAATTGGTTTGCCACAAAAGAGCAACAGTTTTTGTGGTATGACATTTATAAGTTGCCAGAGAGATAACGAGTCTTGATGTACATATCAAAATATTTTTAACACACTTTGTCCTGTCTCAATTCATTGGTTTACCAATATCAGAGTTTCGAAGCTTCCGATTTATTTTTTATTGACTTTAATTAAATTTCTAGGAAAAATTTAAGGATCAAAGGAGCCATTTGTCACTTTCCTATAAAATTCCCTTTTGAGATAAATATCAAAATATGACACTTGATGTTGCATCAAAATATAATTCTATAATTTTTTTATTCCAACAATGTTGTTGATATTATCTTAATGATAGATTGATTAGATGTTGATATTTTATTTAATAAATTAAAAGAAAAAATTTATAATAAATGTAAAAATAATAAGTCTTTTCACTTGTAAGTGTGAATATTGAAATAGCTTTTTCAAGTAAGAATTAAAGAGCGCTTCAGCAATGAAATTATGGAAAATTTTAACATAAAAAAATACTGGCAAAGAAAATATTACTTATTTGATAATTGACCATAGTATATTTTTGAGAAAGGAAATGGCATAAAAAGACTAAAATAGTGAAAAAAAAACTGTTTATTTCAAGCTGTTTCGACCAGACTATGCAGATCTTCTAAAGGGCTAGAATGAACAAGATAGAGAAATGTGGAAGTTACATGATGTTTAGATAAAAATTATCAACAATGTGAATAAGCCTATTAAAATTATTCACTATTTATAATTTTAACAAGTTTATTCACATTGTTTATAAATTTTGTCTAAATAGTAAGTAACTTCCACATTTATTTATATCCTTTTGAATCTTGTTTGTTCTAGCCCTGAAGAAGACCTGTAAAGTCAAGTTGAACCGTTGGCTTGAAATAAAACAGTTTTACCGCTATTTCGGTCTTTTTATGACAGCCACCTCAGACCATCTCCTTCCTCAAAAAAGAAAATAATCAGAATAAAATAAATACAAATATATTAATTTTTTTTTTTCAAGATCAAGATCTAATTTCACTAATCCTAAAAAAGTTACCTAGCAAACGGTACTTCACGATCACTTGACGAGACGAGAGTGAAGTGTTCCAAATCCCAAAAGTTCAAAGTATTATCCTGGCTGGCTGAGGCTATCAGGAACTCGTGAGGATGGAATTCGACTGAATTAACAGGACCAGTGTGTTCTGGAAATTCTCGTAGCATACGCCCAATCCTCAAATCCCATAACTAGAAAATTAGTCAAAGTAATTCTTGATATAAACTTCAAATTTAATAAATAATACAAACATTTTTAAAACAATCAAATAATATAAAAAGCAATATACTTAAAATAATAATCATAATAAATTATGAATATTTTTATTCAGTCTTTTTAGCAAAATCGAGTCACCAAATGGAGTTTAAAATTTCCATATAGAGTCAAAATACTTTCTAAATATCAAATCAAAAGTGAGCATGCGATAATATCTTCTAATAATAATATGTCTTGACATAATATTTACAAGGACTTTTAATAACCCACTCTGATAATAATATATAAGATAACTGATTTTTTGCTTTATTTTTGTTTTTCTCCACAATTTGAATGGAAAAATGAACATGACAAAAATTCGATTATGAGAGAACATTGATATTTAAATTTTCATTAAATAAAAGGAATTAATACTTGGGGTGTCTACAGACGGACAGACTGACATACATTCATTTTTATATATATAAATTTGTATTAAGATGTAATTAAATTAGAAATACAAAATAAAATATTCCTCAATAATAAATAATAAAGAAATTACTAAAAGTACATAGAGAAAATGACCAAATATAATTTCTGGATACATTGCATTTGAGACAAGTTTTGAAAAAAGTTAAAGATTGATTTTTTCAACGTTAGCAACTCACACGGAAAGGAAATAAAAACGCACCAACCTTTACTAGCCCATCCTGCCCAGCGGAGGCAATCCATAAGCCATCTGGGCTGAATTTCAAACTGTTGACCGCTTGAGTATGGCCTTTGTAAGTGGCAATACAGCCTTTCTTGCGAATATCCCATAGCTGTAAAATAAATAACTTGTAAAAAATAAAATCTAAAAATTAAAAAAAAAAAAAAATGTGTTCAAGAATTTGTAAAGTACTGTTACAAGTGATTGAGTTGAGATCATACTCAATTGCCAAATTTTCCCTCTTAATTAATTATTTAAATAAGACTAATCACTTTATACGAGGTTGGGTGTACGCCAAAAAGGTCTCCTGCACCATGGTTAATCCATAGCTGATGTAACAGAATAAATGATTACCTGACATAGCCAGACTTGAACCAAATAGAAGCCCTTACTTACTGAGCTATTTCTATCCCAATTAAAATGATAAAACATATTAAATTATTAAATAGGATGCTAATAAAACCTTGACTGTGCTGTCTGCAGAACCAGAGGTGATAAAATCTCCGTAAGGATGAAATTCAATAGCCCTCACAGATCCCTTATGGCCAGTTAAAGTTCGCAATAGCTTGGCGGCTTCTAAGTCCCACAACTTCAAAGCTCCAGCAAATGAGCCAGCACATACTTGATTTTCCGTATGTCCAAAGCGAACAGAATGAATTGGAGTGGTGTGACCACTCAAACTCTAAAAATTAATTAAAAAAAAAAATCTAATAAATTAAAATAATACATTACAACTATAAAAAGATAATGTATTATTGTAATATCTGTGGCACTTGTGCATAGTGTATTAAATGTAAAAATCATATTTATCGAAAAACACAAGTGAAAGTTTGGAATTTTCTAAGGTGTAAATACGTTTTAGCTTCAACCAATGAGTTACAAAGGATTGTTCATCTCTATAATAGCCGCATAATTTATTCCGTAAGAGAAAAGGAAAAAGAGCTTTCTTAGTGATACCCATAAAATGTCACAAAACACATAAAACACTTTTCACAGGAGCCACAGACATAAATAATACATTAAACTATTAAATAATTAAAACTGAGAGAAATCACATTTAATTAGCTAATCAGATTAGTGAAAACTTGAATAATTAAACAATCCAAATTGTAGTTAATTTAAGCCAGTGCCACTATTAAAGTGTAAAATATCAACAAAAAAAACTCCAATTTTATTTCCAATGACCAAGGTATAAGATCAATAGTTAGATAGTATCTCCTCAAAAGTAAATATCAAGTTTTTTTGTTTTTTTTATTGAATATAATATCTACACTCGGAATGCATACTCAACTCCTAGGAGAGAAATGCTGAGAAGAATATGGGGCGGAATCTTTGAGAATAGAATTCGGAGAAGAAGAAAGAATGAAGAGCTGCGGGAACTTTATGGTGAACCTGATATTGTGGCATTGATAAAAAGAATCAGATGGTTAGTTCACATGGAAAGAATGCCCGACCAAAGCATGTCAAAGAGGATGCTGCATGAGAAGTCGATAGTAAAAGAAGTAGAGGGCACCCTCGGAACAGATGGCTGGAGGATGTGGAGGACCATTTCAGGTGACTGGGTGTTCCGCAAAATGACCAAAGATTAGTTGACTGTAGTGGAGAAGGCCCAGGTTCTTGCAGTACCATAGCACCATTATAATAATAATAATAATAATAATAATAATATCTAAAATTATATTAAATAAAAACATGAAGAAGGCAGTTCAATACCAACTGACTGCTATTAAATTACTGTGTTATTTTATAATATGTATCGAGCTGTATTAGAGGAGAGAACATAGAGAATAATAAACAATAAAGAGTCAATGAATATTAGCGTATAAGGGAGTGTGCAAAAGATGTAAAAATATCCATAAAATTCTTAGTTTTAATTCAAGAGAGAAAAAGAGTTGTTGATAAAGCTATGAGAAAGGAATGAGTGGTAATGACAGTCCTCTTGGTATCAGAGACGTGAAGTACACTATTTGGAAAGAATAATTTTGAGATAAAAATTGTCAAATTCATGTATTGAAATTAATATAACTTACTCATATTCTGTTGACACACAATATTAAAAAACAAATATATTTGTACCCTAGAACGAGACCCTGTAGGAATCTTCATCATTGAGATTTAATGATAATAAACTTCTTTGATAGATAATTCATCACTGAATTATTTTTAAGAATATATTATCAATGACTAAAATATTAAATTAAAGTTATTAATAATTAAATAAAAAACAAAACTAATATGTATTATTTACCATAATACAATTGGGCTTCCCAATAGCCCAGAGGTTGACTTTCTTGTCATCTCCTCCAGTAACAAGTACATGCCCTGATTTGTGTCCAAGGGCAAGACAAGAGACATTTGAAGTGTGGGCAACAAAATCTTCTATAAAATACACAATATTGTGAGCAATGAGTTATAACATAAAATAACAAAAAAACATTAAAATAACACTTACGAAGTTTACAGGCTTTTTTTAACGATAGGGCCATTTCAAAGTTACAAAAACAAGATGTTCACAAAGGTATTTAAAAGAAAAATCTGGTATTACTTGGTTCCTCACCATTAATTAATACCATTCAAGAGGGAACCCTCTTTAGCAATTAAATTAACTTGACATACCTTGAAAGCACTTTGCTCAATAAGGAATAAACTATCAAAATAGTGTCAAGGTAGGGTTGGATTCATGATAGTGGCAATGAGTATAAAACAATTTATTCATATATATTAACGATCAATTGAACAGTCTGTCATAAATTTAAAACAATAGAAAAGTAATGCCATATCAATTCAGAAGTTATCACATAGATAACTTGTAAACTTTCAAAACTACTGCGACGATCCTAACGGGAAGGTTATGATCAATGTTTTCACAGCTGTTGAAGCCAAAACCAGTTTGGTTGTCCTTTGTATATTTATTTATATATATAAATCAAATTTACAAAATTAAAATGAAAAAGTTATGATGTTAATTTCAAATTTAGAATTAAGTAATGGCGTTATTGCATAGTAGATCATCGTGAATAAAGTAAAAAAATATAATACACCATTATTAAGAAAATATATATATAAAAACCAAGATTATGAATTAGATTAGTATATCTAAATAATTCACATTACAACCCGTAGGTGGGTTTTGTTTTCTTTATAAGCTATTTTTTTATGCTATCTTTTGTTTTCTGTTTATTTCCTACCTCGACTTTTTCGGCATACGAGAAGGGGAAGTTGTTCTGAAGGTACAACCAGATCTATTTAAATCTTCTGGCCAAGTTCATTACGAGGTTCCGATACGAAATAAATTTCAACCTGCCTAGGTTGGATTCGAACTGGCACTGTTATACTCGAGAATACTATAAAGATGACAACTATCTATCATTAATCTTGATGTGCTGCTCCTTTTAGCAGTCTAACTTTAAGCATTTTCTTGAGAATCTTTCCTTCCCTCATGCAAATCACATGTCCAGTCCGACGTAACCTACCGATCTTTATAAAGATGACAACAGTCAGATCATTATATAAAGTATAAAGTTCCCCTTCATAGGGCGGTAGATGCGCCTCAATATCTTCCTTTCAAAAATTAAAAGATCATTTTCACCTGCCTCTATCATTTTCCATCGTTGTGAAGTGTTGATCAAGATAGGTCAAATCATTATCTTATACAATCTACCGTTTACCTTAAAATTAAACGGATTTTGATCTGCCTACCTAACCAAAAGCAACGCTTGGCTACTATTACTCTGGACATATTGTTCGTATAAGTAAACAGAGATCCGCGGAAGGTGAATTCCTTCACCATAATATATTTAGTTTTGGCCTCATTTATCACGTCAGCAGAGAAGCTGCCTGTTGGATTGTCAGGAAAGCATTCTCCTGCTTCGTGTTACTAGAGCCTATAGAATGGTGTTTCTTGACGCAGTCCAAGTACTAGCAGGTAGGATACCTCTCGATCTCCTCCTACGAGAATGCTATTACCTCTTTAAATGAAAAGAGAATGGTCGGCGGATCTACCGGAACATCTAAAGATGAGAACTGATGAAGGCCCAAGAAGATGGAAGAAAATTATCAGGGAGGACACAGTTGATGAATGGAACGAGCGATGTACGGCAACTCCGAATTGAACTACCCTAAAGTAGTACTTCCCCACGGTCAAGTCATGATTAGATACAAGATGGGTCCTCCCGGATTGCTGGGTGTCTCAACTCCTCGCGGGACACGAGGGCTTTCGAGCGAAGCTCGTTGAACACGGGAAGAATATTGATCTCCTATGCCCCAACTGCAACATGGTCGTCGAATGCACTGTCTATGAGGCACTAAGGGCTAAGGTCCCGAGAGAAATGGGGACATATACGCTGACAGAGCCCGTGTTCTCCCAGCTAATGGCCAGAGAGAATTACCCACATTATAGGTAATTCGCTTACGGATGGAAAGATGCCCTATACATTGTAATCTTGGAAGAAGAGAAGGACTTTACGAGCTGCAACCAGAGGACCAGCTTCGGATGTAAGGAAGAAGAACGGAGAAAAGAAAAGGTATGGGCACAGCCTCTTCACAAGTCTACACCACAGTCCCCACAATTACAATTATGCAATAATAAATATTAAATAAAATAAAATACGTTTACTGTAAGACAAGGCAGTGAGAAGGGGAAATGTTTTTTTAAAAAAATGATCTTTCTTCAATTCAGCTGAATGTAGATATACAACCAAACCTATTCTAACAGGAGTCTGGGCAGTTTCTTTGTATCCTAACATTCTTTACATCAAGCATAGTTGCATATCTTAATGCGACTGACAATGTAATATGCATATTTAAGCATACAAACAGGTGATAGATTGCCTTATTGCACTAGCGGATCCAGGATTTAATTTTTGGGAGGGGGATTCAGCCGGAAAGCTTTTTTTTCATAAAAATAATGATAATTACTTTGGAAATACAGAAAGAAACTAACTACCGATATGAAATGGTGTTTAAATGATTCCTTAAGTCTTTCTAAATGTAATTACACGAACAATAATACTTTAAGAGGTATTTTTTAAATTTTGTTTTCCATAATACAAGGTTATATTTTACCATTTTGGGGAGGGGCTTCAGCGCTTAATACGTCACTTTTTTCGGGTTTTTGCTCATTTCAGAAAAACTATCCATCGCATCGAAGTTCAATTAAAAATTGAAGTTGATCAAATTTGCAATTTGATTGGGTACTGAAGTGTTTTCGCTATCTCGTTTATTTCCCGTGATATCCGTCCTCAATTATGGCTAATTTTTTAAAAAATAAAAATACCTCGTGTTTATTGCTGTTTTTGCTTATATCAGGAAAGCTATCCATCACATCGTCTAAGAAGTTAAAAAAAATTAAAGCTGATAAAATTTTCAATATGATAGATCATACACCATTTTTCGCTTTGTCGCTTAGTTTCCGTCCTCAACTAGCTAATGTTGAAAAAAAGATGTTTTAACTCATGTTTTTTACTGTATTTAACTATCTAACTGTTGATTGTTTGGTTTTCCGATTAAGTCATGAGGAACTTTATTTGTTGATTACGAGAATTTACAGAATTAAATAAGTTTTATAATAAACGTTATTGTATGTATTTATATGTACATATATACATTGAGATTTCGATGTATGGAGAGTTAGAGCAGTATAACAATAATGAATATTATAAACATCATTTTTTCCTACAAATTCTCGGAATTAACAAATAAAGTTATAATTGATCTAACTTTTGAACAGTTATAGATAAACTAGTAAAATAATGTATATTCTTGTAGAAAATTTAATTATTGAAAACTTTCTTCCTCCAGACCTAATCGTAGAAAGAAGCAATCAAGAGTTAACTAGTCAAATACAGTAAAAATCTTGAGGTAATTTTTTTTCCACATTAGCGATAGTTAAGGACGGATATCTCGGGAACTAAGCGAGATAGCGGAAAAAATATATATAATCAATCATATTGTAAATTTTATCAGCTTTAATTTATATATAAAGTCTTTGCCAATGCGATGGATAAGTTTTCCTGATATAAGCAAAAACTCTAAAAACAGCAATAAACACAAGACATTTTTTTTTTTTTCAAAATTAGCCATTGTTGAGGACGTTTATCTCGGATAGGTCAAAAGTTGTCACACTCATTGTCATAGTGAGTGATCTGAGCTAAATTCTTAAACAATAAACAAATTTTCTATTTTTTAAATTAAAATACATATAGGATGAAGTGGGGTAAGTGCAACCACGGGGCAAGTTGACCACGGTTGGTTTTTGACCTTAAAAATGATTATTTTTTAGAAAAAAAAAAACACTTGGTTTGTAATTTTAGAACTTTTTTTTTTAAATTTCCATCTATATAGTTTTTTTTTTTTTTTAAATACTTACATTTTAGCACTCGATGAAACTTTGACTTTCAACCGCAGATGACCAAACTTCGTATTTTTATAAAGTTTAATGTGTAGTTTTCATAAATTTACCTTATTTTGGTAATGGAGTAGAGAGAGAAATACTTTATTTAAAGCAGTGCTGCCCTACTATATAGGGTTGCTCGATACACAGCAAACTCATCAATCCTTTTTTTTTTTTTTGGACATACAAATTATATACAAATTCTTATTCATATTACACAGCACAAACAATATCAATACTATAATATACTAATACATACAATTACAATTATACAATATATTATATATACATATTTCGGTGAAACCGATACAAAGAAAGAGCCATGGCTACACTTGCCTAATCATTTTTGCACACGGGGCAAGTGTAGCCACCGAGACTGGGGTAAGTGCAACCTTGTCGATTGCACTTGCATAATAGTAAATATTTCTCAATTTAGCTAAATATAATCAAGAAATTACACAAAACCTGATTTTTAAATTTTACGGTTTTTTCCGATCACCCTCGCCTTGACTCACTAAAAATTTCGTATCTCCCAATCGGTTTAAGAAAAAAAATAATGGCAGAATCATTGAAAAATAAGCTATGACACACATGCCCCAGTTTTATTCATATTGATTGCCTCTTATGGAGGATCCTAGAGTGAGGTTTCACTTACCTCGCATACGATCACACTCGAATATGGGGTAAATAGCAACCAGTGGACATAATAATTAATTTTTTTAACAATTTATAGAAAATCATAAAAATATTCTAATTGCAGGATATTGTAGCCAGATAATGCTAAATACCGTGTGCTAAGTTGTATTTCCATATTTCTAATAGTTGCCTCACAGAGAGAATTTAAAAATGAAAAAAAAATAAACTTGGTTGCACTTACTCCACTTCACCTTACAGATATTAAAAATAACAATGTCTTATGAAAAAAAATTACCTCTAACAGTAGGATGAAACAAAATTGACAGGAATTTCAGACGATATTTTTATTAGATTAGCCGACGTTTTGGCCAAAAATACTTCGGAGATCACTCAAAATAACAAATATAGATCAACGAAAAAAAAAAATCCTATTTCATGAGAGGCCTTCAGCTTGAAAGCCCCTCTTCCGTAGATTTTCTCGAGTCTTTAAGGAGTAAAGGGTTTCATTAAAGATAAAGATTTTAAGGAGTAATTACATTTTTAATAGGGCTTCAAGAATCACTTAATTGCAAATTCATATAGGTAATTAGTTTATTTCTTTTTCTTCCCAAGTAATTATTGTTATGTATATATTAAATAAAAGGCTTTCCGGATGAAGCTCCCCACCGAATTTAATCTTGGATCAGCTAATGCCTAAAGGGCAAAACCTAAATCTAGGAGAAAAGAAAACGAATCTGGCAATCCTGTCATGTCCTCCCACTCTCCCTTTTTCCTTTCCCAAAAAATCGTATAGGCCTGGCAGCCAATCCTTGCTTTAACCGATGCCGGCCTCAATTTGAATTTGGCGCCTCTGAACGTTGCGCGCGTCAGCTCTGCGAACTAGCATTTTTCCAGTTAGTCTTCCATTAGGGCTCCTGATATGAGTCAGGGATTTTCGTCGTTTAAGTCGTAAGAAGTTCTTTGTCGGTTCTTCAAATTCTCTTATCAGCTTCAATTGGCAATCACTAATAATCACATATTATCAAATTGTTAACAATAAGTAACCAGAATTTTCATATTTTAAATTGTTCTACTGTGAAATTTACTTGAACTGCGGGTTTGTTTTTACTTGTATGATGATTTTCTAATGTAATATGGACCCTTATAGTTACAAACCAAAAGATAAAGGCCCAGATGCTGCCAGAGGTGAACAGAATGTGCATTACAGTGATAAAAAATGCAACCAGGAACCTCCTGGGTATGGCCGCATAATGATAAAATCAGGAGATAGGGTAGAAAAATTATGTAATATTGGTGATTCTAGTTCATCTAGTTACAGTGAAAGAGTGTCTCCATTAACTATGTCAAGTAATCATTTGTCTAAAAGAACTGATATAGATACATATTTAAATGAAGCACCAAGTAAGTCTCATTGTTCTGATTACAAGGCTTTTGATCCAAAAGTTTCTAATAGTAAAGTTGATTCTCTGAGCTCGACTTTGGGTACTATTTCTCTAACCGATAAACAGGAATCAAACAAGTATATGGGCTTTGTTAATGGTGCTCCCCATCATACTATTGATCATAATAAATATTATAGTTCGTATCTTTCGAAAAATGGTCCTACAAGTCCAACTCGTAGTCCAAGTGGTTCCAGTAGAGATTCTAATAGTCCAAGAGGCAGTATGGTCCAACCACCTTTATATGACAGTACTAAAAGTCCCCTGTATGAAAATGTTGATTACTATGGAACTCGTGCAATGCCTCAAACACCAGCATATTATCATCAACCACATTCCAGTGCACAATCTAGCTATAGTTCACAGGACTCTAAACATTCCAGCCCGAGAGCAAGTTATGTTGATAATCAATATGAAAGTACATATCGTAAAGCTCAACCTCAGGTACCTGTTGGAATAAAATATTCAGTTACTAAAGAATATCCTCCTTATGAGGCTCCACCTGTCTATGAAAATGTTCAGGATCTAAAAAGTCAAGAAGGTCGGCCGATGTCTCAGTATGCAGTGTATGGCGAGCAAAGGCAAATTGCAGTTGCTTTGACAACTCCAACTTCCTCTTATTTGCCTCCACCTTATACTAGCTATCCTGTCGGACAGTCTTCTAGAGTTGAATCAAAAACTGCAGAGACTGTGCGTCCTGCAAGTGTTACCACTGGTCAAACCTCTCTTGCTACCAGCTACCAACGTGCTGTTGCCCCTATTCGAGAGCCATCACCTACACCTTCAGCTAAGATAAAAGCAGTCCAAGGCTCTGGCAAGAATTTATTACCCTACAATGTTACTCCTCCAAGGCCCATGGTGAGTTTTAATATTATTTATATCTATTTATCCATCGTTAATTATTTATAATTATACTCTGTGTGTAAAACACACTTAATACTATTTCAAATAAGTATTTGTACAGTAATCTGAATTGAAGTGTTTGAATTTACTCATAAGCATGCAACTAAGTCTAAATGTTAAGTCACAATGACATATTTCTCATTTTTAAATATATTAGGTTTCATTATTTTAAATCTGATTCAAGTAATTTATTGTGTATTCATGATGAAAACAGTTTAATGTATTTTTTTTTTAAATCTGTTCTTTATCAGATAATGGTGGTGACCACAATGATTCACTGAATGAGGTTATATATTATCTTAGGCATCTAGTCACCTAAGCCATGATTAAGTTAAATGGCTAATTTAATTTTAATCAGAAATAGCTAACATTAAATTAAACCTGTCCCATCAATAAATAATTTCTCTTTCTTATGGTCTAGTAGTGTTGCAACCATTTCTCAATGTCATATTCTATTCAAATTAGAATTTGCACAACTTACCATTTTAGAATAATAATTAATTTTCGAAACTATTTGGTTATTATGTGAATAACATTACAAATAGATGAACTAATTATTGCTAAAAATAACAGGCTGACTATTTTTTTTTAATGAGATAACATGAAGGGTGTTTATGTATCAAATATATAATTTTTTGCAATACTAAATAATAATAACAAATTTTGTTTATTGGTATTTATGTATATTATATTATATTAAACATTAATGGTTTGATTAAGTTATATTGATCATTGCTAAATGAGTTTGTAAAAACAAAACAAGAACTTTTGATATCTTTTACACTAGTCAATCTTTGAAATTTACAGAATTATTTTTTTAAATCACTAGTTAAAATGATGCTTTATTATTCCTATTGATTTTAAATAGAATCAATTTTGATTGTCAGTATCAGAAGGCAATAAATATTAAAACTCCACAAACTGAGATCCATCATGGAAGGAAGCACTTGATTTGTCAGCTCGAAAACTGTTCAGCTTTATTAGTTTTATGGATACTTTTTATTTCATTTTTTGGATTATTTATATGCGTCATATAATCAATTTTTTACTTTTGTTTTTTAAATTCGATATAATGAATACATTTAATTTTAGAAAAAGATTATACATTCATTAGGCCAGATGTAATCTTTTAATTTTGTTATTCTCGGGGGTACTCCCAGAATAAAGTTATTTTCTATCTAACCTATCTATCTAAATGATTACAGTTTGGTATATTACTTTCATTTTGGATATTTTATAGATCAACTTTTTGAATGAAATTAATAATAAAAATGCACAATTGTAGCTGCATTTGTTTGGCCTAAAATAATAAAGTTTTAGTATCTATGCCTTTTGGGTTAATCACTTGATGATTAATCAGAGTATCGTTTACTTTAGAACTCTTTAAAGTTTCAGGCAGCATTGAAAGTTTATAGCAACTATATTGAATGTAATACGTATTTTTTAGTGTAGATTCATTTATTTTTTAAAATTCATTTTAAATGAAATAAAAATTCAATATTTTATTTTAGAAAACCAAGATTTTATTTATAATTTCCACTTATCATTAAAGCTATTTTGAAATGACTGATAATATAGCATATCCTGCTGTAAAAAATATTTTTTATAATTTAATATTATTTTAAATGACCTAATAATATATTGTTGAATGGATGAAAAATAGAAAAGTATGTAAAAATTCTAATGTCAAAGGAAGAAAAAATGACCCCAATATTACTGAAGTATTAGAGCAGACTTAATCATATTTATGTAAACAAATTTCACTGATATCCTAGATGAACAAACTGGACTTTATCTTACTTGAGATCATAAGTAAGTTCTTTAAATTTCATTTCTTATATTTATATATTTATTTATTTGATTAATATTCATTGATCTAAATCATATATTCATAATCTTTAAACTATCTTCGGATACAATTTTATGTACATATATACTTTTTCAAAAATGATCTTAGTTATTAAAGATAAAGATAATTAACTAACCTGTTATAATTACAGTTTCATCCAATATATTTATGATTAAAATTGCTCTGAGAAATTCCTAATTTATTTTAAAATAAAATAAAATTAAAAATGAAGTTAACCATAAAGATAGAACTGGGATTTTTGGGAGAAGGGACATGTTAAATTTTGCTACCCCTCCTCAACTCCAATAAAAGTCAACATCTAATATCAATTTTCTAGGTAATGTATTTCAAAGTAAATATCATCAGATAATATTTACTGATAATATTTCATTGACAGCATAAAGATAAAAAAAAGAGTAGAAAGAAATATTTTTTACTTAAGTTAAAAAAAAAGTTCTCGAATTTTTCTGCCTTTTAAACTTTGTAGCCGAACGTATTATCTTAAAAATGCTAAAACCTTCTCCTAACCTCCACAAAATGAGGTGAAGGAACAGAAACTAAATAATAGATGTGGTATCAGCGTACACCACCTAATGTTTCGGTAATTTTTGGTTGATCTGGTTGGTCCTAATTCATTCAATGTTTGCAAATAACATAATTTATTAATTTAATGGGGATCATAATAGTTTTATAGAGTAATTAATGTTTCAAAATATATTTGAAGAGCCTTGATTTCAGTACTGTGAACTAACGGATCCAGGATTTAATTTTGCGGAGGGCTTCAGCCCGAAAGCTTTTTAAAATATGTGAATAAAACGATAATTACTTGGGAAGAAAATAAAAGAAACTATATGGAATGTTGTATTAGTGATTCTCGAAGTCCTATTAAATGTAATTACATGAAAAATAATTCTTTCAGAGATAATTTTTAATATTTTCTTCATAAGACCATTATATTTTACTTTTTTTTTTGGGGGGGGGGGAGAGCTTCAGCCTTGAATGCCCTCTCTCCCCATAGAACTGCATAAAAAAGTACTGTTGTAGGGATTGTGCAAGGAGATGATTGGATCGAGATCACATTTAACCATCTGATTTTTTCACTCTTAAATAATTATTCCATTAAGAATACATAATTTATAGAGGCTGGATGTGCCCAGGGAAATTCTCTGACATTAGGCCGGAGCATGGCTGATGTAACAGAAGGAGAGAAACACTTTGTTTTCATATAAAATAAAAAAACTTGCTGCCCAATTATATTAGGTTGCTATACACACAACATACTCGTTTATCCGTAGGGCAATAAATAAACTTATATATAAATATACAGAAGTGGTTAGCTTATATGATTACTATATATATATAATATTTAATTTCCCTTTCTCTCACTTCTCTCTCTTTATACATCTCTCCTATACACAGTATTAAGATGCTTAAAATTATAATAGAACAATAACAAAAGTGTATACATCTAGAATTAAATACAATTTATACATCAAATACAAATAGACATTTTTCATTAAATAAATACATAAATTAAAACTCTCAGCCTAGTCATGCTCGTGGTGGTTAATGATTCCCAGAGAGTCATTCACTTACGCTACGTCCTTAATGTCGACACCTAGTTCCTGAAGGAAGCTCCTTGTTCTTTTTGGAATTGTTCCGGGAGACTTTTACCAGAGGCCTCTCATGGTGAACTCTCTCTCTCCGAAGATCTCATGGAATTTCTTGTTTAGGAAAGGGATACATTTATCATACGTGTTCTTCTTTTCCCTTTCCACTTCACCCGCCTGATCGAGGTCTTTGCTCTCAAAGCGGACAGTTGGATCCAAGATCAGCGCTGTCCTTCCTGTCTTGGGAAATGCGGTAATATCCACGTATCTCGTAGAGACTTCCCTATCGATGCAATATGCCTCGTCAAATCAGGTGAATTTCCTTTCCCTAAGGAGCCTCATCAACTCGAACTTGACCCTATGGTGACGATGTGTTATAAGGAGAGAGTTATTGGGACATTTTCCCAGCACATGGGCTGGTGTTTCAGACTCTCTGCTGCATTTACGGCAGAGGGACCCAACTTCTCTGCCCTGTCCGCTGACACCTGGGACTCCACGCAGTGGTGCATAATTAATGTTTAGTTTTAGGGCATTCGACCATTCAGATTCAGAAAGTACTTGCTTTTCGTAGATGTATCTATTCACTTTCAGGGTCTCTTTAAAATGGCTAACACCAATATCCTGCCACCTGAAGTTGGCCCATTCCTGAAATGAATTTTCTCGTAGCGACTGCCGTAGAGGTCTCACATTTCGATGACCTGATCAACTCCTAATCTCTCAGCTCATTCAGCAACTTCAGCCGAATAATCGAAGGTAGATTGGAAAAGGGAATCTGGTACATTGGACAGTCGCTGAGCAATGGGTCAATGTTGAAGAGGAGCCTCTCATTGGCAGCGGATTAATCCCAATCCTCGCTATCTCCTGGGGGCATACAACATCGCCGTGGAAGTATTAGCAAGGAGTCCAATAATGGCCTTTATGTTCCTGCGAATCATAGTGTCGATCCCGTCCAGTATGGCAGGACGCAGCTTCGTGAGGGGCCGAGTTTGGAGAGGGTAAGACCCGGGAACAGATATAGATTTACAATGTTGAGTTTCTGCTCAGGTTTAAGTAAGCAAGAGGTTACCAGCTTGTTTAAATTATCATTCAATTTAGCCACCGAATCTTCGTTGAATTGTAGCTCTCCCGAGAATGTACATCCTAAATACTTAATCGTATCTTCATTCTTCAATGTTTGGATGTACTCACCATTCTCAAGGGAGAGCACCGCAGTTTCCAGCTCTCCTTTATTTAGAACGATGCCCATGCATTTTTTAGGATTTATAGCTAGACCAATTTCTTGAAATGTCCTCTGTATGCTGTCAATCACTCTTTCTGCAGCCCCCTTGTCTCGGGGCCGCACAGCCTGGACACCCACGAAACCTGTGGGGACCACACAATCTTGGTCATTACTTAATTTGTATCCAAATTTCTTGGAAAAGTCCTCATCGCACAAGTCGCGGTAGAGATGATCGATGGCCAGGTTGAAATTACGGTCATCAGTGGGATTCAAATCC